GGAGGAGGGGGAGCCGGAGGGAGAGGAGGAGGAGGGGGAGCCGGAGGGAGATGAGGAGTGGCCTCCGCCAGGGCGGTCAAGGTTTAAAACTAGTGGCAGGGAGGGCCACTAGTGTGACAGAGGCAACCTTGGGGTGGGGTGGCAGAAACAGCCCGGTCCTTCTAAGAATGGTGGGCCGGCCAGCAGAGGCCCATTCAAGGGGGCAGGAGCATCACCACGAACCTGGCCGGGCCTGGGAAGGGGAGGAGTCAGGGCCCTGAGGCTTCCCGGGCTCCACCCAACCCCCTGCCAGGGGACTTGAGCCAGGGCAGCAGCTTTAATGAGGAGATGTTGCTGCCGTGACTCAGCCTTCCAAAGGTGCCTCCATTTATTTTATTCTTCCATCATAAAAACCCAAGCTGCGACTCAGCCAGACTCCCCGGCCATGGCGGGTGGGGGGTGGGGGTGCCCAGGAGTGACAGCAAGGCCTGCAGAGAGGTCTGACTAACACTGGCCCCGGTGCCCTTCGGGCAGGGGAGAGGCAGCGGGGTGCCCTGGCTGGTCCCTGCAGGGAGAAAGGGACTGTTGGTGGGGGGGGGGGGGGGTCTGGTAGGAATCCTTCCAGACCCACCCTCGCTGCCTCTGTCCACGCCCCCCGCGCCGTTGGAGGGAAATGGCCCCGCCAGGTCTTTCGTCTGGGGTTTGCTCTGATGTCCCACAGCTCAGGCGGTGCTGGGAAGAGGCCCCTTCAGGGCCCAGGGCCGCCTGTCCCAAGTGCTTCCTTCCAGAGAAAAGGACCAAACGAGACACTTCTCACCCCGTCCACTCAACGCCACCCCCCCCCCCCACGAGATCGGCCCATTGAATCCTCCCAGCGAAATGCAGCTGGGAGTCGGGGGGGCCAGAGACCCTGCGTGTCACCTGAGGCTCCAGTCCCTCCAGACGCCTCAGCCGGCCTGTCTGCATGGCACCAGGAAGCGTGCCACTTCCGAGAGAGCCTCTTCTGTCCCCGGCTCTGCCGGCGCCTTCTTGCCAAGATGGCACTAAAGCACCCCCCGCCCCCCACAGCAGACTGGCAGAACCGGTGCCCAGCCTCACCGCAGGGACCGGCCCCAGCTCAGACTGGTCGAGTGGGTGTATCTGGCCAAGCTAAGGCTTGAGGAAGGCAGGTCGAGGGCGACCTGCTCTGCCCCAAGCCCGGCACGGAGCCTCTCCCTGCAGAATCAGCACCAGAACCTTCCCGAGCCCCGGCACACGCCGGGCGGGCCCACGGTGTGATCGGAGCCAGCACGGTTCCTAGAGGCCTGCGCTCCAGGCAGGTGCCGGCCTTGAGCGGGAGGCCCACCCAAGGCCTAAGAGCCCGGAGCTGGGCTGACGCGCCGGGCGGCACGGGCCTGAGCCGCACGCACCGAGGCTGGCCTGAGGAAGCCAAGTTCTTCGCCCCGTCCCGGGATCAGACCAGACACCACCTGGAAGAAGCCTGCAGCCTTTCTTCTCCGACCTCTGGACCGTGTGCCCTCGAAGCACGCGGCTACTAGGAAATTCCACTCCAAGAACCAAGCTGCCGTGCCAACCTGGCTCGGCTCCCTTGACCCCATCCTTCCTGGCCTCCTGCACAGCCGAGGCCAGGGCCAGGGTGCCACGGGGCAGGGGAGGGGGGGTTGGTCTGCGGGCAATGCAAGGGGGACTCTGCCTGGGGTCCCAGCACCGCTTCGTCCCAGCCACTCGCCTCTGCGATGTGGCTGCAGCAGACTTGGTGCCAAGGGGCAGCGCAGCCCCTCGCCGGCTCCCCCCGGGGTCCCTGGCCATCCCTGTGACCTCGCCTGTTTGGCCCTTCGCCTGGCAGAGCCCACCTGGAGTCCTCTGACGGGCAGCTCTAACTCTGAACGGCCCGTCCCCTTTTTCTCGAGTTCCCCTTGGAGAGAGCGGAGCAATTACAACCAGACCCCAGGAAATCAAGGGAAAGTTCTCTTTCAAAGCGTTGCTGCTACTTCACAGCCTCTGTCACCTGGCCTCCAGTGTTGCCCAGGACCTAGGCCCTGGCCTAGGGGGGCCTCCTCTTGGGGAGCTTCCCAGCGGGCAGGTTGGGCTTACCTGCGTCTGAGAGCTTCCTCCCGCCGCGCCTCCCCTCCCGACTCCCTCCCCCGGGAAATCACTCTAAAAGGGCCTAATGGAACCATGTCCTCCTCTCTTCCTCTCTCTCTTCCCTCCCTCCCTCTCTTTCCCTTTCCTTTTTTTTTTTATTAGCATTTGTGGAATTTATTCCCAAACTCTCCTAATCTTCCGTACACAACCATTTGATTTGCATAACCCAACCCCCTCTCATAAAAACTGGCTGCTAGTTTAATTAAAAAATGTAAATTTGCTGTCATCTCGGGGCCTGGTGAATTAGGACGACATCGGCATTTTTTATTGCTAAAGACGTCCAGATTGATCCAGCCCTTGGCTGAACTATGGTGGGGGAAAAGGGATCCACATGGCCCCTGAGGGTCTGGAGATCCTGCTGTCCCCTCCTGAGAAGCCTTGGTTCTCCCGCTACGGAGTCACTTGTGGCTGGAGCGCTGCAGAGCCCAGAGCTGTCCCGGGCCGGAGGGGATGGTGACCCCTGAGCCGATGCTTCTTGGGTCCCTGGTGCCGGCAGCCTTCTGGGGCCTGTGCCTCCAGCCTCCTACGGCACTAGCTAGAGAGGCCCCCAGCGGCAGCTGCCCAGAGTCCCACAGAAGAAGATGGCCCCCCACCACACCAGCAATGAGCCCGGGCCACAGACAAGGCCCCTGGCCCTGGCTGTGTCCAGGGGTATGTCCCCGAGGTGGAGGGGAGGTGACCACAGAGTCAGCCAGAGATGGCTCGGAGGGGATCTCAGAGTTCCCACCTGCTTCCCTTTTTTAGTGAAGAGGGGAAAAAGTGCTTTTCTTCTGAAGTTCTGAGATTAAGTGAAACTTTCAAGTTCAAAGAAAAGGCTGAGATGGTATCACCAGATGACTCCTCCCAGAAACAGTCAGAACTTTGACACCCCGGACCTCCCCTCACTGGCGGCCAGAGTCCAGGCCTGGGTTGTACTGGGGAGTGCCCTGCTCCGGCTACAGGAGGGACCGGCTGACCTCAGGGGCCCTTCTAGCTTCTAGGAAAAGTTTCCAAAGGCTGTGCCTGGAGCGCGGGGAGAACGGAGTCTCCGCACGGCCCGGGAGAGACGCTACAGGAGGTTCTCCCCCTCGCAAGCCCGGGAGGCCGACTCCCCAGTCAGGACACCCCACAGAAGGGCTCTGGAGTCTGCTGGGAGGGACTGGTTGGCTCAGGGTAGGAGGATGGACGCCAGTTCCAGTTGGCACCCAGGTTAGAAGGCGGAGCACGAAGAGGGCCCCGCCTCCCAGCTGAGTAATGCTGTGTGCCCGCCCATAAGCAGAGGCGTGGCCTGCCCCAGGTAAGGGGGTGGTGCATTACCTGGCCCATCTGTGAGGTGTGCTTCTTGTAGGGATGGGTGGGGGCCCCATTTCCGAAGAAAGGGGGTGGGGCCTGAGAGGGAGGTGATGAGACACCTGATTAGAGGTGGGGGCGGGCTGCTCCCCTGTGGGAGTGGAGGCCAGGGAGGGGCAGGGAGGGGCAGGGTGGCAGCAGAGGCCTTAGACACCTTCACCGCTTTGCCCAGCAGGGGGTGTCACACCCTTCCCGGGCACAAAGGTCCTCAGGACCTCCACATCAGGTACACCAAGATCGCATCTGGCTGGGTGTAGTCTCAACACTTTGCGAACAACTCTTCCCCTGCCCCCCCACCCCCCACGGCCTTCCCAAAGCCAACCACAAGGCTGCCCTCCGGGGGCCCTCGGTGCTGTCTTCCTGTCTTCTCTGCCCAATCCCCTTTGACCTCAGAAGGTCAAATGTCGGCTCATGGGTCCCCAGGGACAATGTGATGAACTTGGGCCCATTATAAACAACAACTCGAACAGCCACCGGCAGCACTTATCCTTCTATCAGTGACACAGGAGGGTTCAGAGATCGGTCTCAGCGAATTACCCTGTCCACGGCCACCTTTTAAAAACATGTAGGAAGAAGCCAGCTGCCTTCGTCAGCTGAGGACCTACGGGTCCTGCTCAAAATCTGGTTTCAACAGCGAGCGGCAGCCCGCATGGCGGTCCAGAGCGCAGTAGACCTCACTCTGGACCGAGGTTGGAACCCCAGAGCGGAAGACAACAGAAATTATGGAGTAAAATCAGACTAAAGCCAGTAAAACACCCAAATCTCTGGATGCACTCTGCCCCAGGCCCGCACCGCGCTCTCCGGACTGCTGGCCTAGGCGCCATCCTAGCCCCCCACAAAACCCACACCGCCCAATGTGGTAGTTCGTTTGGTGCACGCAGGCCCAGGGTGGGGGCTAGGAAGGGGGATGGGAGCGAGTCCGGGGCCCAGCACTTTGAACTGATAACAGCCGCCTCATCCCACGGATTCTCAGGTGAAAAATACTCATTAGCCATAATAAGCAGTTTGATCATCCGACACAGCCTTGTCCCAAATAAATTAAATTCCTTTACCTTGAGACAGTCGCCCCGAAACCAGACTAACCACCTTTCCCAACAGGACGCTGCTTTCAAAAACTAAACCACCCCCCACTAAAAAAATAAAAACACACACCCCGCAGCCAGACACACAGAGATCTTTGCAGGGATTAAAACACACAGAAAACACACAGAGCCATTCAAAAAAACATGGAGAACAAAAACCCCCACAAAAAACCCCTAAATCCTCTCTCTGGGTGCCCCCCAGCTCCGTCTGCCCTCCGTTCTTTCATAATGACGAGCATCAAATTAGTCATAGTCACCAAGCAAGTAACAAATAATAACAATAATATCATCCGAAGCCTCGCAATCCAGAAACCAGGGCGAGAAGCGCGGCGGCACTGGACCCTCTTCTGGCCAGCCCCCGCCCCCCGCCCAGCTGCTACCTCATTGGGCTAAAAATAATAACTTCCGTAAAAGAACCGAAAGAAAAGTGAAAGAGCCTCCCCCCCGGTTCCCACCGGCCGGTACCTGTACCAAGATCCATTCTCCTCGCCTTGGTCCCAAACTCTTCCAAGATCGCCGAAAAAAGAAGAGGGAAGAAAAAAAAAATCTGTTTAGTCTCTCGCAGTGTTCCCCGTTCCACACCCCCTCCGCCCCCTCCGCTCGCCGCGCCCCCCATCGAGGGGCCGACAAGTCCCCGGGACTGGGGGAGAAATGCGAAGGGGGCCTGGGGAGGGAGCGAAACTTTCCTTCCCTCCCCTCTCGCTCTCACGCTCCGGCATTGCACACGCAGAGCAGCTCCGCTCTGCTCTCGAGTTTATTAAACTAAAAGAGAAACTATTTATAGACGTGGCCCGGGTCTGGGGGCCCGGCCGGGCCGCGAGGCCGAGGGGCGCCCCCGCCCGCCCGTCCGGCAGGGCTCCCGCCGCCCCCGCCCCGCCCGCGCCCCCCGCCCCGCGCGGGGGTCGGAGCCCCGCGGCGCGCCCCCGGCCCTCCCCCGCCCCACTCGGGTACTCACCATAGTCGGAGAGTCGAAAGCCGAATTCACTTAAATAATCAACTTTCATAATACTTAATTAATGCCTAATTGCAACTGATTACTCCCCGAATAACAAGTTGTTTTAAAGCCCTGATGTCATTGCTCCTGACGGTAACACTCAGGGTAACAGTTTGGCAGGAGGGAGCGGGTGGGCGGGAGCGGCCGGGGGCGCTGCCAGGCGCCGAGGTGATTGGCAGGGCGGACAGGGCGCCGCCTCCTCTGGGCCCGGCCCGCGCCGCCCCGGCAGGTGAAAGAGCAGAGCTCGGCCCGCCCGCGCGCGCACCCGCCAGCCGGAGGCCGGAGTGAATGGGCTCGCGCTCGCCCGCGCCGCGCCCGCGGCCTCGCGCGCGCCCGCGCCCAGCGCTCGCTCCCTGCCTCACACGCGCCGGCTCCCTCGCGCGCGCACCGGCTCGGGCGGCCGGCCTCACGGCCTTATCGGCTCAGTGGTTCCCTAAACCTCAGACTTCGCGGGGAGGGAGGCGGGACTCGGCGGGAGCGGGGCGGGCGCTCGGTGGCCGAGGTTCGTGCCCGCGCACCAACTCCGGCCGGACGCGGGCCGGTGGGCGGGCGCGCGCTCGCACGCCCCCCTCTGCGCTCCGGCCTGGCGAGCGCGACTCCACGGCGGCGGCGGCGGCGCGCGGACTCGCTCCCAGCCGCCGGTGGGCCCCAAGCTCGCCGCGTGCGCGGCCGCGCAAACTTTTCCGCGCGGGCGTGCGCAGGTGGGAGCGCAGTGGGGTCGCGCCGCCGAGCCGCGCGCTCTCGCGCTCCCCTTCGCGCACTCTGACGACTCCCGGTGCCAGGGTACCAGGGGTTTTGTTTCCCCCTCGTACTCGACCGCATGTTGTTGGTGGAGTTGCTTTTTTAGTTCAAAGACGAAAAGACTCCGGGGCGGCGGGGCTGGGTGTGTTGGGAAACACGCGCGTCGGCCTCGCACAGCTCGCAGGCTCCAGGAGCGCGGGGAACCCCGGGTTTCTGCCGCTTAGGTAGGTTTCCTGGCTGCCTCCCTACCCGGGTCAACCCCGGGACGCTGCACGGCCCTGCTCCCGGGCCATCTCCTCCTGGCCCGAAGCTCAGTATCCAGCCCCGCAGCTAGGAATGGGGGGAGGTGGGCAGCACCTCCTTCTCCTCTCACCCTGCCAGGACAGAAACTTTTATCTCTTCTCGGAACGCGACCACTTGGGCTTCCTCCCCACCCTCTCGCCTCTGCCGCTGTGCCCCGTGAAAGGCCCTGGCAGACAGGGCACAGGCACCCCTCAACCAGGAGCCAGTGTCCTGCCCACCTGCGCCTCAATCTACCCTCTGCCCCTTCTCCTTGCCTCTTGGAGAAGGCCCTTTGGTGGGCCTCCCTTCTATGGTTCCTAAACGTCCCTGCTGCGGCCCAGATACATTGAGATTCCTTAAATTTTAGTGACCCAAGTTCCTCATTTAGCCTGGCGGGGTCTCCAAGAAGGAGGCAGGCGGGCAGGCAGGAATGTGGGCAGTTGTGCGAGTGAAGTACCCGGATCTTGCTGTCACTAGCTCTCCCGCTTCCCCTTCTGCGTCCACCCTGCTGCCTTCCTTTCCCCTCCTGTTTCGGGGGACGCCGCACTGCCTCCCATGAGAGGATGTCTTTCTCTGGTCTCTGGGCCACATTCAGCAAAATGACACTGGCGTATTTTTGCAATGTTTCTATTTTGCAAAGAGAGGGGCCCAAGGAGGCCTTGGGGCAAAGAAGCCAGGGAGTTAACAATCTACTCTTTCTCCCACTTTCCCTTTCTTTCTTCTTGGATTGTGCTTTAGTTCCAAAGGAGGTTAGCATCCCTCACCTACTTCACTGCCTTCCCCGGTGCCTTCTTGGCGTTCCTGGTGGGCACACAGCCCTCTGCCCTCTAGGCCTGCCCCGCCCCTATGTGGGACCAGTAGGTGGAGGCCCGGAAGCTTCCTGAGTGTCCCCTGGTCCTAAAACTCTGAATAAGGGAGCAAGGCTCCCTAAATAAACCAGGCCACGTGCTACGCAGAGGCTGGTACAACTGCTGGCACGGGGCAGCCAGGCAGAGGAGGGGTCATGAGCTCCTGTTTCCCACGCGGGATCTCAGAGGGGGCATCTCCGCGTCCAGGGCTGCTCTGGGGTACACGCGTCCTACCACCCGTGACTCCCCGAAGCAGGGTCTGCGGCTTCGGGTTGTAACAGCAGTCAATTCCAAACCCGCATCCCGAGGGTCTGTTTCCCCGTCTGGGCACCGGGAATGCAGAAGGAAGCCTGACGACACAGGGGCAGAAGGGCGGTTTCCCGGTACGTCTGAAGGCGTCCGCATGGACGGGGAGCTCCCTGCACATGTGACCCACAGGTCCTTCTGGGCTGCCGCTGCTGGTGGTCAGGGCATGGAAGGACATGCCTTCCGGTTACTGAGGCAAGGCCAATGAGATCGGCTGCGTGATAAGTTTGAGGCCTCTGGTGGATGAAGACTGGCGAGCAATGGCTGAAGGGACAGAGCTAAGCGAGCTGGAAGGAAGGCAGAGCCGGCCCGAGGGAGCTGCCAAGCGCAGCTAGCCGCGGTGGAGGGAGGTGGGGCCCTCCGAGCCTCAGCTCTGTTCTGCCGAGATGATGGCCACCGTCCACCACTACAGGCTTAGGAGCTCCTGCCCAAGGGCGAGGGGCCTCCCCGCTGGAGGACAGGCCCCAGGAGCACAGAGGGTGAGGCCCTCTTGGTGTGTTTTGATTTGAGAAGATCTGAGAAAAAGGCTGAGGCCTTGGGGGCCTGGGTGTGAGTCAGAGACCACATCATGGAGGGGGTCTGCGATTTCTCTCTGTCTCTCTTTGGGTGTGTGCTCGTACAAAGGGGAGAGGCCCAGAACTCTGGCATCTATGACCCATTTCTGACTTGAGGATCCTGATGTGGTGACACCTCCTTAGACCCTGAGGCCAAGCCACAGTAGAAACCTCTGTGCCTGGGACTTGGGGGACAGAAAGCCCAATGCCACAATTCCTCCTGGTACCCGGGCCCCCGGGCCCAGAGCCACCAGGTCCTTACAGGCCTTGCCGCCAAGAGAAACAGTGGAGACCCGCATGGCAACCCGCCCCAGGCCCCCCACACCAGTCTGGGTGGGGGGGAACCGGCAACTTCCCCCAGGCAAGCTCCAGTTGCTGGCTCCCAGGCTCCTGCACCCCCAGTTTGCCCACTCATTTTCTCTCCCTCCCGAGCCTCGGGCCTTCTCACTCGCCAGCCTGTTTACACACCAGGTATCTCATGCTTTATCTGCTCTCATTTTGAATTTGTAACTTTCACATAAACTTGAACAAAGCTCCTTTTGTTCCTGCACCCCACCCCGGGATCCCAATAAACTGGTTCCCTCCGAGGCGACTGGGCCAGGGCACAGAAGCCTTGGCCAAAGCACTGTGTGCGCATGTGAACAAGCGTGTTCGCACCTGCGAGGGAGTCCGTGTGTTTGCGTGTGAGCACACTCCCCGGGCTGGCGGAGGGAGGGAGGGTGTCAGGGAGAGCAAAGAGCGAGTGGGCGGGCTATGGAGGGAAGCGTGGTGGGGACCGAGGGCAGCGCCCAGACAGCACGGCTCGGGAGGTGGTGGGCCGCAGAAGGGTGGGTGGGTGGGGGTCCAGGCAGTGGGGGACGCAGGCGCGGAGGAAACAGAGGGCGGAGAGGCGTGGCAAAGCGGGTGGCGGAGTGAGGGGCTGGGGCCGGGCCGGAGCCCAGCTCAAGGCAGATCCGGGGGCTGCATGACGGCGGTGCAGGGGCTGGCATCGCCGCGCGCTCGGCCCCGTAATCCTGTTAGCCAGCAATCTCCATTCCGAAAGAGCTTCATTTCTTTGTGAATATTTGTAAACTAGATATCTAATGGAAAATTATAGGAAAATTATAGTGAAATTCATGACGGAGAAATCCGATTATCCCTAATTCAATTATGCCATCTTAGCCCACACAGCACATTTCCCATTTTTTTCCCATAAATACCGATGCCAGGGGTCCCGGTAATCAAATAAAATTGAAAATCATCTTCCCATTAAATTCAATTAGCCGCAATTTCTAAAGCCTATCAGAGATTTTAATTACTAAATTATAAAATTCTCCAATGCTAAATTGAAACCAAAAAAATTGCACATCCTTATATTTCATAGGAAAAAAAAAAAGAGGGCCGGCAAAATCCTTGAAAAATGTCCTCCTCTCTGTGCCCAGCTCCCAAGCAAGTTCCCCACCTGGAGGGACCTCATGTGGCTGCCTACTTGCCCCACTGGGGACAGAGCCAGTGGGACAGAGGATCGGGCCGGTCCAGGGGAGGGGCTGAGGCATGTTGATTTAGCAGAGGGGCAAACCACACCAAACGCCTTCCGTGCGGGGCTGGGCTGGCCCCTGGAGAGAACCTGCCTGCCTTCCCTGCTGTTCTGACTCCTGAGAAGCCCTCACCTGTGTCCCCGACCAAGAGGTCTCTAACTGCTACCTTCTTGGCCCTGGCACAGGGCTCACACTCAGGTCACAGCTTGGCCCCAGGGTTCTGCAGGATTCTAGGGCAGCAGACCAGAGGCAGCTAGAACAG